TTTAAGTACAAAAATTAAAAACAAATATAATGATACTGGTTCTATTTAGCTCATTTACATGCTATAAACTAATTATTCACAATAACTGGAGTAAGATAAGCAAGTGAATTTAGAGACAGAGCTTGACTTTTCACTGATTCCACTGTCTTAAGCTTTTTAATTTTTGGTGACTCAGTTTCATCTTAGTGCAGTAATATTAATAATAGCCAGTTTTTAAAGGACATGACAGTTAGTGTAACTGGGCATTTACATTTTGTTTTTGATCATTCTTTTGGCATCTTTAGCTGCTGTATCAAAGCTTAACACATGGCATGTAACCTGCAAGACACTGTGTCTATATGTACATATGTAATATATAGGTGACATACATTAAGGCTCATGTAAACCGATGATAACCGGTGCTGAATCTAATTTAACCAATTTTTCTATTGTTTGTTAGTATTAAAACAAAACACATTTACACATAGGTGTCCTTTCTTTGTCATTTCTTCCATCTCTCTGAGCATTGCTGTCTTCACCTCCTGTCACTGGGCTGCCTTGTGCCTGCATCTTCCTTGCATCTCTCACCACACCTTCAGTTGCCTGTTTCTGCTTGTGCCGTACTTGCTGGGGGTCACCTGGAGCTCCTCTTATATTATTCTTTTTATAATTATCATGTTGGTTCACCTCAAGGTATATTGACTTAAAGGCATCCCTACTATCCGCCCTTCTGCAGCCCTGCATGTCCTCCCTCTGCACCTCGGAGCTGCTCTCTCTGGATTCCCCTGCCCTTCCTTTCACGCAGCTGGTATTTGCTGAGTCAGTGATATTTGTTCTTTTTCTATCAGGATCCCTGACATTCTGACCCTGTGTGGTGCCCAGAGCAGATGCTGTGTCTTGTGCATCATGATCACCCATCATTTCAGGCTTCTTCTTGTCATTCACACGGGCGTTTTCTCTTTGTGACTCCAGAACCCCTCCATCGTTCCCCATTCTGGAGTCCCTGACATTTACACTTGTGCTCTGTATGTCTATATTACCTCTTTTATCCAAAGCCATATTTCCTTTCATACTGCCAGCGTTTCCTGAATAATTACCATTTATTTGTTGGTTACCTGAGATATCACTGATCATTTTGTTAATTATGTTTCCAGCATTTGACTCATTAATATCCAAACATATTCTTGGCATTTTGAGGTGGCCCTTGTCACCTTCAGCTATTCCAGCCTTACTTTTGACACCATTCACAGAATCAGTCAGCTGTGTGTCCCCTTCACCTCTGTCCAGCATA